TGATTATTATTATTATTATGACGCAACGAATGATTTATAAGAAAAGAAAAGTAGAAGAAGAAAATTTTTTTTTTTTTTTTTTTTTTTTTTTGTTTGGATTTAATTAATGTTTTCAAAAAAAAATTGTAATGGGGGCGCGTGTGCGTGTGCGTGTTAATAAATAAATATTAAAATGATAATGATAATAAGGAAAAGTTTTTTCTTTTTTTTTTTAATTTGTAATTTGTAGTTGTGTAGTATCTTAAAATATATAAATAAATAAATTCATTCATTCATGTTATATAACGAATATCGATGAATACATTAAAATGGTTTTTTTTTTTTTTTTTCTATTATTATTAATTAATTAATTGTTAGTTTTTTTTTTTTTTTGCATTTCTTACATTTTGTTTAATTTGAAATATAATTAATAATGATAAAAATATATAATGATAAAAAATAAATTAGTTTTAAAGTTAGTTAGTTAATATAAATGACATTTTTTTTTTTTTTCTTTTTTTTTTTGCTTTGTCGTCGTCAGATTTGTTTTCGTGACGTCATTTCTATTTTGTTTTTATTCGAAAAGGGAAAATTTTTGTAAATTTTTTTATTTTCGGTTGCGATTTAATAATAATAATAATGATGATGGTGATGATGATGATGATAATGAAAAAACCAAAGATGTGTGGTGGATTTATTAATAAAGTTAAAAGGATTAATTTGTGGGAAAGGAAAACAATTTTTTTTGTAAGAAATGACAGGAAGAATGACATCATCAAGGAGAGTTGGAGGGTGGGGAGGGGAAAAAGATAAATTTTGAATATTGCGTTGGGTATTTTCTTAGGGAGGGGAGGAATATATATTATTTTGGTGCTAATAATTAATGTGTATAATGGAACTTAGGGGGTTGGTTCCCTTCGTTAGTGATTATTATTTTTGTAATTAATTAATTTAAGTACCTGAATATACACGAAAAATAATTTTGTAAAAGAGAGAGAGGGGGAGAAAGATGTAGGGGGGAGGGGGGATTTTTTACGTGTGTGCAATTATCTGACGACTCAGTGCCAGTATTTTCTTTTTTTTTTTTTAGGTTTAATTTTTAAGAGGATACAATTTTCATTTTTTTGTTTTTTCTTTACGTTTTACAGTTAATATAATTTAATTTTTAATTTTTTTTTTTTTTTTTTTCAATTTTTTATTTTTGCAAATAATATAATTGAAAAAAAAAATCATTATTATTATTATTATTACTTTTTTTTTTTTGTACATTTCTATAGTTGCGATAAGAATATATAAATATATTAAAATATGTTATTATTAAGTATGATTATCATTATTAACCATTTGTTCTTTTTTTTTTTTTAATTCATGATTTTAATATTATTATTATTATTATTATTATTTGAATAAAATGCTTTGTGTAAAAGTAAATTTAATTTATTTAAATTCCTTTTTAACCATTTTTTTTTTAATGATGACGTCATTAATGAGGGGTGGGTATTATTGTTTGGTGGTGGATTGGAAAGTTATGAAATTCTGGAATTGTTTGGAAACTTTAGGGGAATTGTTTCTGTAAAGGGGAAGAATATTTTTCTGTTTTGGGGGGGTGGAGGGGTGGGAAATCGATTGTTTGGGGTTGAATGGTGTGAGATGTAATGCGGAAGTAGAATCTTATAAATATTGATTACGGCACTGAGTATTTTGCCTTTGAAAATGTCGTTTATTGATGTAAAATTTGTGTTTTATGTTCCAAAATATAAATTTACATGAGAATAATAAATTGTAATGAAAATTTTTTTTTTTAAATATTTGATCGTTGCTTTTTTTTTTTGTAAATTATACGAGAGTAATAAATTTGTTCAGTATTTAGTTAAGAACTTGAACTGGAGGCAAAACGGGAACCTCTGAAAATGAAGGGAAATTTTTTTAGTATGGTTAATTTTCTTTTTTTATAATAATAAATACTTACTGAAAAGGCATCCAGAACGGTAGGGAAAGTCGCAAACGTTAAGAACAGGGTTAAATTCCAAAGGAAGTCTGCATTCGAACCTGTATGGTACTCCGTGTACGCATTGGTAGAAAACGCTGCAGTTTTTCATATCGGCTAAGTAAGTTGGCTCGAGTAAATCTTCATCTGGGCAAACACCAAATGGAAACATTTCTGGTACTTCTGGTACGGCTGGTTCCAATGTAACAACAGGTACAAGAACTTCTGGTTCTTCAGGTTGTACTGGTACGACTGGGACCAATGGTTCTGCTGGAAGTGGTACGACTGGTAAATCTGGAACAACTGGTACTTCAGGAACAACTTGTACTCCAGGTACTACTGGTACGCCACCAACTGGAACATCTTGAACATCCACAACTGGTACTTCTGACCCAAAAAACAAAAAAAAATCACATTATTAAAATATTTAAATAATAATAAAAAATTATAAAAAATAATAATAAAAATAATAACCATCTTGAGCAATGCTTTGTTGAGCCAATCCAATGGCTGCCAACACAACAAAAATTAATTTCATCATCTTTCCTAGAAAAAAAATAAAAATTTTTTAAATGTTGATAAAAATATAAAATTAAAAAATTATCATCAACGCCCACACTTAATAAAACACTTTAAATAATAATAATAATAAAATAAAATTTGCTACCTGCTGGTTTATAAAACTTTTTTATTTTAAATTTGAGTAACTTAAAAGGCTGTCACACGAAAATTAAAGTCTCTCGTGTATTTTCACCGAATATTTATATTCCCCTTGAATTGTTATTTAAACTTCTAAAAAAAAAAAAAAAAAAAAGGAAAATTTATTTTTTCATTTCTTATCTATCAGCAATGTTTAAATAAAAAGGTATTTAATTTGACCTTACGAAGACAATTCAGAAAATTCCTACAGTAAAACAAAAAAAAAACGGTTAAATTTAAAGTTAACAGTCTTTATACAATTCATTTAAACAATATTATAAATATACCCCCTCCCCCCTCGCTCCTCATAAAAATATAATTTTTCTCAACATGAACACATACACATAACAATCAAATATTTTTCTTGTTTTGTTTCAAAGGTGAGATGACAAAAAACTTTTACTATAATTTGTTATAACTTTTTAAATATCCTTTGATTATTATAAACAAAGGTAATTATTATTAACATTTAATTTAGTTTTATTATTTATCCAAAATCAAATAATAATAAAAGTAAAAAAAAATTATAAGCCTGTGTATAAAAAATGGCTTATCTTTTTTTACTAAGGTATAATTAAAATGATGTCAATGATTATGTTTTCTCTCATCAAAATCAAAAGTCATGATGAAACATAATAATTTTGTTGTTTTTGTTTTTTTACAATTTAGAAACATAATAATCTTTAGTTTTATTTTATATAAAAAAATTTAATATTATTTAAAATTATTTAAATAAATCATTTACAACAAGTTTTTTTATGTTGTGGTGATTGATGAGAATTTTCCTTTTGTTTTTTTTTTTTTTTAATTAACACAAAAGTTTTTATGAAATAATTTTAAAGTTTTAAAAAATAATTTTTTGAAAAATTTTAAACAAAAACAACAAGGAAAAAAAAAAAAAAAACAAAACAAAAAAAATTTTTAACAATTTTATGACATGGATAAACAACGTTTAAAAAATTTATATAACATGTAAATATTTAATTAATTAAACAAAACAATGTTGTTTGTTTTGTTTTTGTAATTTTGACAATAGAAAATAAATTACTTTTTATTTCCGGTGCATTTTTTCAAATAAATAAATAAACAATAATAAATTATTCATTGCATAATTGTTAATTATTAAAATTTTTATTAAATAAAAAACAAAAATAAATTCCTGTTGACAAACACTTGAATTTTTATAAGAAAACATAAAAAACATAATTTAAATGAGTGTTTTTCTTTTGTTTTATATTTAATAAAATTATGTTTGATCGTTATTATGTTGTTTTAATTAAAATATTTGAATTTTCAAGCTTAAGAATTTGTTTCTTGATTGTTGTTGACCAATTTACTCTTATCATTGTTGTCATCAAAATTTATGTTGAAAATTTTCACTTTTGTTAGTTTTTCCGTTAATTCCTGAAGGAAATCCTTTAGTGAAAACCTAAAAATAAAATTAATAACTTAAATGTAGAAAAATTATCAAATTAAATTTCAAAATTATGTAAATACTACAAACTGTATACAAACCCACTCTAATAATTTTTAAAGATTTTTAGTTATTATTATTATTATTAATATTATTATTATTTTATTTAATAAAATTTAAAGTATATTAATTGTATTCACCTTTTTGTAACGGAATCGGAATAAAAAAAAGGTTCCTCCATAATATCTTTTTTTTTTTTGTTTTTTCCAACGGGAATTTTCAAAACGGTATCAATATTTTTTTCGAAAAAACTCATCGTTGACGTAGAGCGTAACGGATTTTTTATATCTCGAAGTAATCGAGATTTGATTCGAGTTATCGTTTGAGCAGAAGATTCGTCAGACGCAACGTAAATCATTATCATGATAAATCCTATGAAAAATGTTTTTGACCTTCCTTTCATTCTTATCTGTTAACAAAACATTGTAAATTTTTTTTTTTTTATTTCTTTTCTAGAAGAACAATAGAAAAAGGTTTAATATTTAGCATGCGTAAAAAAAAAAAGAAAACAATATGCAAAATAAAACAAATTTATCATATTTAATTACGACGTAAAAAAAAAAACAAAAAATTTTTTCTTTTCTCCATTTTATTCTTCATAGTTGTTATTTAATTCGTTAAATTAATTCAACTTCTAAACTGCTAAAAAAGTTTTTTCTTTGTTTTTTTTTTTTTTTGGTAAAATACAAATTAATTAGTTTATTAATTTAAAATTTTTTTATAGTTTTTAATAATAAAAAAAAAAATTGTTTTACGACTACCTTTAACATGTAAAAATATCATAAGTATTGGGTTGGCCAATAAGTAACTGCGGATTTTACGAACAGATAGTTTGTCCATTTTTTTGAGTACGTTTACGTTTTTGTACAGACATGAACTTTTGGTATGTTATTACTTGGTTCTTTCTGTAACATTCGGTACCAAAATTTCATTCAAATCTTAAATAGTGCGCGAGCAAAAGACATTCAAACATGGGGAGCCAAAGCGAGCATTTCCTCTACATTTTCCTTTTTTATTTTTGAAAGGGTGTTAATGCTTCACAAGTTCATAAAAAGTTGTGGGCCGTGTAGGGTGATGGAACCTTAATAGAACGGCAGTGTCAAAACTGGTTTGCGAAATTCCGTTCTGGAGATTTTCCTTTGAAAAATGAGGAGCGCTCCGGGCGCTAATTGGAGGTTAATGATGAGCAAATAAAGGCCCTCATTGATTATGATCGGCATAGTTCGACTAACGACATTGTAAAGAAACTAGATGTGTCACATACGTGCGTCAAAA